TTTTTTTAGCACCACGGAGAGCATAGGCTCCTGAGAACATTTTGACAGAATTTTAGCAGTTTTGGTTTTTTTTGAGAATGCATTGATGTATTGGTTTGCCAGGGAACAATGGCTTATAGTTCAGCCTGAGAATTCTTCATAAAGTTAAGAAGGCATAAAAATGTCCCCCCTGAGACTCATCAGGAGTATTTACGCTCCTACAGTTTAATTTGCTGCTTTTGTGGTTTCTGTGATGTCATCCCACATGTGTAAGCTGGAAAAATCCACACTGAGAAGTGTAACCTCCTGTGTGTGTTTCCACAATGGAGAACGTTAGGCTTCGTTTCCCTCGGTTGCTACACATCTGATTACATGTGTCAGGAAAACAAACTTAAAAAATTTCAGGAGACGGACCTTTCAGTGGAATTGCCTGGAACCCATAAAGTGAGGTCATAGAGCCTACAACGGTAATAAGATATACGAAGAAAAGTAACCGCTGCGCTACCTTGTGTCTAGTCACGCTGACTTTCCAGGTGATGGCCTTGCAAACTCAAACCACCTCTTTCTTCATGCCTATAAAAACTTTTAAAAAAATACTAAAGACATTGCCATTGAAATACAAGTACTGATTTTTTTTGGTGGTGGTTCTGAGAATATAAAAAAGGAGAGGAATACCCTCTACCCCCTGCCTCCCCAACCACAAAGCCCCCTGGTTATTGCTTCCTTTCCTAAGTTATATTAAAATGGAATTTTCTGCTAAATACGCTTCACTAGATAAATATTGCATCTTGGAAGGATTATTCCTTTAATAATACTATCTGCATCATAAGGGAATATTAGTTTAAATAAGTTCTTATTCAGAAATAAATTGCATGGCTCTGTAGAAACAAATTAGTACGGTAGAGATAAAAATGTGTCATCAGCCATGGCCCCTAAGTGGCCACTGATGACATGGCGTAAGATCACAGTTTTAACCTCCTTTAATATCAGACTCTTCCTGGCTCTCTGAAATAGAAGCATAGGAATTACAGCTAAGAACAAACAACAACAAAACTCAGTTCATATCCTCTTATGACAGGAGGAAAGGCTAAAAGGCCAGATCTAAGGATTTGGGCATCTAAAAAGACAATGCCCACATAATGCACCATAAAATTCTGTAAACCTTTTTAATAGTATATATATGTTTGGCTTTAGTACAATTACCAAATGTAATACCAGTTACAGTAATTCTGTATGTATCTCAGCAGTATTATTTTCTAGCATGGCTTTACATTTTTAAGAACTTAATAGCTGTAGGATAAACAGATGCATGCGATAAGAGTTGGAATGTATTAGAGCTGGTTTCCCTTTTGTGTTTGTGACATGTGTTTACGTGGTTTATCCATAGTCATGAAGACTGTGTTGCCTAGATATGGTGGGAAACACCAGGAAAGTGAAATGCAATTTTGTTTTCTGGAAGGCAAACCAAGATTCTTGACATGTATTTTTCTTTCTGTTTCAAGGCATAGGAAAACCGTTGACCCCCAAAAGAAGCCTTTTTCATAAAACACTCAGAGCAAATTACGTCACTGTTGTCAATTGTCTTCTAATGTGAAAACCAGTCAGATAGGACCCTTCCAGGAAACAGTGACAGGCATCATGGCATTTTACCACCTTATCTGAGTATTTTTGTATTTCTCATGCCATTAGATATAGTCATCTTAAAGACCTTGTGAAAAATGGCTTCCTAGTCAGACATGTGAAGAGTAAAAAGTTCAAGGGGCTGCTGCCCAAGCCAGCATTTCGTACATATTTACGGCTAGGAAACTGATTTGCTTATCACATTCTGTGATGCTTCAACAGGTAGGTTGCAAGCAATGAAGAAACAGGTTCAGACTCCGTTAAAAACATCTTTTAAAGATTCCTGCAGCCAAGCTGGAAAAAGAGGATGCCCCCATAGAGAAGGTTCTTTGTCAAATATCTACTAATTATGATAGCAGACATAGGCTATACCTATGAGCAACACATTCCATTGGGTTATAGTTTTTGCAAGCATAAAGATTCTGCCTAATTTTTAATAAGTTGAACCTTGTAGTAAAGAGATTTTTCACTGACAGACTTGATTGACTAGACCTAATTAGTGGTTCACATCTGAAGCAAGCCTCAACTGTCTGAATACAGGGTCTTCGTGTTACAGTTTGTAGCGATTTGCTCCACTCCAAGTAGCACAGGGAGGTGGAGGTTTGCAGTGACTGGGCACTACCTTTCTTGCAGAAACACCACCTTTCTCAATCTAGATAACCTGCGGATGGCTGTGCGCTGGAAAGGGCAGCCAGTAAAAGAAGTGCTTGGTACTTCTACTTGTACTTCTATGAAGCACAGCCTGGAGTGACCCTACAGCTCCCTTCTAAACATGCTCATGGCTGGTCAGCTCAGGGTCAAGGTCCGGCTTGTCCAGTGTTCCAGTCTCTATCCTGGTGGGGCCACACGTTAACATTCCTGTCTGCAACCCACATTCTCTCCAAAGCTTCCTGGCCAGAAGCCAGATTTCTCCCTGCAGTCCCAACACTTCATGAGGCAGCCCCTGGGAGCCTGCCTGCCAGTTGTCAAGGGGCACAGGGCCTCCCTGAAAGCCAAGCACAGCCTGGACCTGAAGCCCCGTGGCTTTGGCCTGAGATAGATAGGGAATCCAGAAAATCAAACGAGGTTCTTCTTGGGGTCTCTTGAGCTGCATCTGGCACATAACCAGAGCTGGGGGAGTTGGGGAACTGCTTTCCAATAAGGCCTTGATCAGAAAGTAAACACATCCTGTCCAGAATCCCATCAAGCAGGATATTTCAAGTTCACTAAAATACTAAAAGCACAACAAGCCTTCCTGCCATGGAAAACTCAGTGATGGTAAAAATGCCTACTACAGCGCACTGCACTGTAATAAACATTCGGCATAAATTAATAATTTACAAGTACCTGAGCAAGTAGACAGAGCACCATAGCACAGCACAGCACCAACGGCAGCAGCTCAAAAGTTCTTAAAATAATGGTGTTTTAAACATTTAAAAAATCCTAAAAGTTGGTACAAAAAAGTAACTCCAACTGGAGCTGAAAGATAGTGCAAACTTCTGTCTTCACTGTTGAAAAAAGGTGTCGGCTTCTCACTTAATATAGGCGGTGTGGGTGGATCTGGGCACTTGGGGTGGATATTGCGGAGCAGGTCTGAATCAAGAGAGGAGAAAAGAGAAAATAATCAGAGGCCTTGAGAAGTGAATCTGAGGATAGAGAAGTGTGGGGTTGGAGATGTATTCTGTGTCAGATACCGCTGCCCCTCATAATGGGGGCGGGAGACCTCTCTCCAAAGCCATACCTCCCACCCACAAGCCAAGTCTAGAACAGCACTGTCCAACAGAAAAAATGTGAGCTACACAAGGAATTTTAAATTTTCTAGTAGCCACATGAAAAAAGAGAAATAGGTGAAATTAATTTTAGTAATACATTTAACTCAGTATATATCTAGAGGATTATTTGAACCGATTATCAATAGAAAAAAATGGATAGTTGTGCTAGGCACAGCCTGCCTCACAGCCCCTGTGTCCCACAGCACAGCTCCAGAGAACAAGGAGCAAAGGTGGGCACCCAGGATCCCTCAAAAATGAAATGTGCAGGACTGAAATCAGCAACTGGCAGAGGTAGCATAGGCCACGGCTTGCGGGCATTTAACATAAAGGACTTCCCCCCTTGTGTTCATGTAAAGTAGTGTTTTTTCCTCAAATAGAACAGGAAAAATAACTTCAAGATCAACATGCAAACCACAATGAAATAATTAGGATGCTATGCAGTTTTTCTCTATTTATGCAGTTGGGAATTAAACAATTTCCTGACCCCTTGACCGCCTTTATCTCTGAGATTTATTAGGCAGCTCTTTCACGGGCCAAACATTCTTCCCAAGAGCTGTAATGAAATCACTCCAATGTGTCTTCTCCTACAGAGATACAGGATTACTGAACCCAGGGCCTGGCCAACACAGTACCTTTGGTTCTTTTGAGCTCAAAAAGCAGGCTTCCTGCCAAGAGGGCATGTGTGTCAGAAAAGTACTTTGGCTGTGGGTTTAACAGCTCAAGGTGGTGGCTGGGGCGGGGGGTGGGGGGTTGGGGAACGAAAGCCTGATTTGCAGCGTTTGCCAATTTCCATGGTGTCAATACTCCCACTGTGGCTGGTTTCAAGCTACCACCTGATGTCACTAAACGTGAAGGAGATGTGAGCAGCTACTACGACCTAGGTTCCCTGCCATACAGAAATCACGGATGAGCGCAATCTCAAGAGCACAGATAATTACAGCAAAACGGAGAAAAATGTGAGGTGAGTTTTGTGCACTTATTACCTTTGTTTCTAATATATCGTAAAATTTAATCCTTAATATTGGCTAGGTTTAACACCTAGCTTGCAAAATTCCTGGAAATTTGATAGCTGTTACCAACCAAGGTGAGCTGGCTTCAGCATACCATGGGATTAGCCTCCCTGCATTAGCTGGGATGGAAGTCTCTGCCTTCCTGCAGACCAAGCAGCAGAAGTTGTGAAAGGTGATTCCTTTTGCCCGTTGTCCCTGTTTCCCAGTGTCCTCTTGCCAGGCAGCTGCTTTGCCTTACTCCCCATATGTCCCTTGTTCCAGCTGTGTGCCTCCAACCCGACTAATGTCTCAGGATCCCAGGGACCGGGAAGAGACTGGGTTAGTTGTGGTTGGTCCCACAAGAGATTGAGAAAGAAAGAGATGGGCATGGTGTGTTACACAAACCTGAGAGGTGCCAGGTGGAGCCCGGTCTCCCGCTGTCCTGAGGTCCTGGCCGAGGCATGGGTGAGCCGAGTCACCCTGCCCAGAGGATCTGCAGGCAGAGGCTTCTGAGGGGGGTTTGGCTTACGGGTCCCCTGCAATAAACATAGAGTTAGGGTCACTTTCCAGAAGCCATGGAGAAGCAGGGCCTGGCACTTGGCACAGGCTCTGGTCCCTGAATATCACCCTCTCACCATACAAGGTGGCTGGAGGCTGACCTCTGTGAACCTTCTTGCTAAAATTTTCTCTGAGACTTATCCATGGATCAGAGCTATAAACACTTGACTGCGGGGCTTCTGGGCTGCCCCTGGGGTATAGTTGATGTTGGGGTTTCTCTGCCAGTGTTACCCCGAGGACACACACTTTGCTGCGCCTTTAGTTAAGCAGCTTCTCAGTTCACCCTAAAATGAGAAGTTGGTGGAAATCTTTTCAAACATTGCATCCGTTTCCTCGGGTTTTGCCAGGATCTTGGAGCAGGACTCGTTCACCTGTGTGTGGATTAGACAGTGAGGACAAGTTGCGCTCGGTCAGCCACGTGCAGGCGCTGTTCCAAATGTCGCTCCGTGAAATGCGCTGAAGTTCTTCCACTGAATACTTATTCTAGTAAGTTCAAGGAATTGACACGGTGGGCTGAGGGGCCAGTAAAGCTTTGTAAACACACTAAGGGCCAGGGTTGTGTTGACCAGAAGCCTTATTCCACTCTGGGTTTTACCCAAATGATGCTTTGGGACTTGTGCAAGTCACCTGACCTCTCTGAACCTCTGTCTCTGGAAAATGTGGGGAAAAAGACCTATCTCAGCATTGTTATGAGGATTAAAGAAAATAATGCATATAGGAAGTTCCCGGCACAGAGATAAGTTATTAATATCAGCACTGCTTCATGCCACACTTTAAAAATCTTTAATAGGAGGAAAGGTCCAGGCGCGGTGGCTCACGCCTGTAATCCCAGCACTATGGGAGGCCGAGGCAGGTGGATCACAAGGTCAGGAGTTTGAGACCAGCCTGGCCAGCATAGTGAAATCCCATCTCTACTAAAAATACGAAAAGTAGCCGGGCGTGGTGGTGGGCGCCTGTAATCCCAGTTACTCAAGAGGCTGAGGCAGGATAATCATTTGAACCTGGGAAGCAAAAGTTGCAGTGAGCCGAGGTTGCACCATTGCATTCCAGTCTGGGCGACAGGACAAGACTCTGTTTCAAAAACAAACAGTGTAAGAACACATGCCACTTGTTTTCGTGTTCTTACACTGTGCCCCTCCTGTGGATACCCATGAGAGGGGTTCATTGGAGCTGTGTCCAGAAGTCAGTAAGTGATGGGCACATCTCTGCTCTTGGCCTCAGGTGAATGTGGTGCTGTGCTTTGTCCTTGAAGCCTGGAAACACTTACGAATGCAGGGAACATCTGTCGGAAATGGTGCTAGAACCTCCAGGAAGACAGAACACCCCTAATCAAATGCACCGATTCACCATCACAGGACCCAGTATTCCATATATCTAGCAGCACTCGACAATCATTTCAAACACTTGAGGTGCATTTCTCTCAGTGCCTATTACGAGAAAATTACGTTTAGCAATTGGGGCTCAACTGAAAGAATGTGACAATATAATCACCATTTAACATATCTTTGTAAAGCAAAGGAAGCTACCACAGAAGTTTGTAAATCACAGCTCTGTAGAAAATAAGCTGAGTTAGAAGAATGGACACATTGGGCTAGGAAAGAGTCCTTGAACAAGGGACAGGCTTAGAAGTGACATTTCTACATTAGCTTTCATTAAAGGAAACATTAAATAGTAAAATTTCCCTAGCTAGGAATAAAGACCATATAATGTGCCCAAGAGCATGGGTCGTTTATATATTCAACCAGCTCTACATACACACACAGTATCCTCATTGGTAGAGAGGAGATGATCAGAGTCCCTTCCTCCCACGTGGATGTCAGGGTTAAATGAGACACTGAGGCTTCTGGTACAGGGCCTGGCATGAGGTAACCCATGAGTGTTAGTTGCTGCTGTATTACAACTATTACCGATGGAGTGAATTGATCACCAAAAAGCATGATAACCCTACCAACAAACTTTGGATAATTAAGGTAACAAATCAAGCTCCCTTTTCTATAAGCTAACAGAAAACTATGAGCAAAACATTAGTGTGTCATGTAAAAATGGATGTATGCACTTACCAAATTGAACTAATTACTAAGCGATACTAGTTTTACTGCTGAATATGACTAAGCTGTCTTGGCAATAAAGATAACGTCAGGTTTTTGCTGAAATGCTGGAGAAAAAGGGAGCTATGTATCACGGTATATTTGGATTTATCGTGGAAACAGGAGATAATTAGGTTGGCCGTTCATTCTAGTTTGCCTGGGGCATTCCCAATTTATGTTGACCATCTTAATTATTAATCACACTCTCTCAGGCATGTCTCCTACTTTAAGAGGATAAATTATGTGGTCACCATAGTGATGAAAACCAAAACGACTGAGAAGCTGATTGAAGGGTCTGATCTGCAACCTGAGGCTCAGCACAGGTACCATCTGCTCCCTCTAGCCATACCCAGGACATGGTTTGGATGGACGCATGAAACAGGTTTCATGCAAAGATGTTGCCTAGGTAAGATGCTGGCTTCCTGCCAGGGCTTCACTGGGATAGAACGGCCATGGAATAGTGGGGTTGGTCCAAGAAGATGTAAGCTCACTTCTTAGCTATCAGGCATGGAGGTGTGGAACCTATGATGCAAGAAGTACCAGCTACACATTTTGACCTTAAGGGAAGGGGTGAAATTGCCATGCTCCCTTTTAGGTGTTGCTTTTAATTTTGCCTTTGCAAAAACCTAAACCTGAACCTCTCCCAGAAAAGTCCAGTCTGATCACCAAGCATCATCTGAAGGGAGCCGAGCAATGACTCTAGGCAGGTTGCTCATACACGATAAATACTGCTTTTCATCTATTTTCATTTTAAACAAGGAAATGAAGAATTCAAACCCCATTCTTCTGCCCTCTTAACTTCTTCCAGATATTAAAGAAAAATCCAGGTATGCTATTAAATAGGGCTGTTCCATTCTTCTGTATTCTGCTCATGTTCTGGCAGTAGCCACATATTTCAAATTTTTTAGAGGATTCAAAACAATTTTAAATCCAAATATAACCACTTTCCCTTGACCGGCATCATGAAGAAGCCTCAGCTGTTATCAACTTCACATGGTAAACATGCCCTGCTTATCCAGAGAAATCCCCACAGGAAGACTGGAAATCATCACAGGAAAATGCCAGAGATCCCTGGTGAGCTCATGCAGGGCTGGGGCGGTGGCAACAAACTTACAAACTCGGTCTACCTCTAGCTAAAAACTATTGTGGGAATTATGGCTATAGAACAGAATATGAATGTTATAAACCCTAATAATGTAGGTATTACGGAACTTGCCACAGTTGAGAGGTGGGTCTTCCGTTTCCAGTAACGTGGCAGGCTATGGTGGTGTGCCTTACCCTTCTCATAACCACCAAGCGCTACAAGGCAGTAAATGTTTTCAGGCCAAAATCTAAGTGAAAGCGGCAACCTGGAGAGGGAGTAGTAACTGAAGCTGGAGGCATCGCCCAAATTAGGGGAACCTAAATTTTGGTTTTGATACTCTTTCACAGAGAGAAATACAGAAATCCAACTGAGGTCAAGACATGTGGGCAGAAACCAAATGCCCAAGTTTAATGAGAGAGAATTCTCTTCCTGACTCCTCTCCATTCAAGTTGGGCTCTACAGGTAAGACCTCAGGTTAAGAATCTTCTAGAAGTAAATCCATAGTATAATCTATCCCCAGGATACTGTAAGGAGTATTCTTCTGGTGCTGGGCAGACCAAGGGGGGAAACTAAATCTGTCACCACAAATTGTCCTTGAGGACGTGAAGCTGAAATCACATCAGCTGGGTAGTTCAATAGGCTCCAAGCCATTTAAAGTGGTCTCAAACTGGTACTGCCTCCAGGCACCTGGCAGAGGCAAAATAACCCCTTATGGAGGCACACACCTGCATCCCAGGCCTCAAAGAACTATAATTTTTTAAAAAATGAACTCATGGAAAAAAATGAGCATACAAACAAGGAAGCAGGAATGAGAAGTGATAGAAGCTTCAGCAGTAACATATCCAAAGCCTTCAGATTTGGGGACTGTTGGAAGAAGTTTTCTTACTATGTTTAAGTGCAAGACAAGCTAGCATAGTTGAATCAGAACCAGGAAGAACCTCTAGAAACAATTAAAAAAAAAGTGCAACATAGATGAGAACAAATTGCATGAAGGTAAGTACAGTTTGATACCACTTATGTCAAGTTTAAAACTCAAAACTACATATTCATGGATACATATTTATATAAAAATATTCAAAGTGTTCTATTAAAAAATCACCAAACTTACACAGTGATTGTATCTGGGGGGAGGCTAATGTAGTTGTAGTGACTTTATCTGTAATGTTTTACTTTTTAAAGGGTAGAGTACTTATGCATATTATATATCTGAAATTTAAATAGGCATATACATCTAGGAAGATGTAAAACAATGGTTATTTCTATGTAGAATAAATATAACTTAGTTTTTAAAATATTTAAAATATAGAAAAGTAAAAACGAACATAAAATAATTTCAATCTTTGGACCAAGGAAGAAAACAGAAGACAATATGTAGACTATTTAAAAAATATAAAATACACTACAAATTGGAACAGTGAGCAAGTTAAAGCAATGTTTAGAGGACAGTTGCTAATATTTTCATGTAAGTATTATTTCACATTTGTAGAGGGGAGATTAAAGCATGTTTCCAAGTTCTAATGGTAGTAAGAGGAAGGTCATATAACACCTTGAGCTGGCTGAGGGTAGGGTAGAATGAGAAACCAGACAAATCTAATAAAACATGGGCCTATCAAGGACAAATAAAATAAATAGTATTGAGGATTACTAGGTGGTCGTCTAGAAAAAAATAAAATTTGATTCTTTATATACTAGGTGGGATTAATTAGGGAAACAGAAACATGGAGAACAACAACAACAAAAAACAGGGTGAGGTGATGGCCCACCTGAGAGTGACGCAGAGCCAAGGGAACCCCCACCCTGGGAAGTGGTACGAGAAAACCTGAGGCTACTGGGGGCTGGAGCAGACCCCCAGCAAATTGCAGCAGCCTTACAGAAGAGTGGCCAAACAGAAAACAACAACCCCATCCAAAGGTCAGCAACCTCAAAGATAAGAACACAGAAACACCAAAAACTCAAAAAGCCAGAGTGCCACTTTTTCTCCAAATGACTGCAACACCTCTCTAGCAAGTGCTCAGAACTGGGCTGGGGCTGAAATGACAGAAATAGGCTTGAGAAGGTGGGTAAGAAAGAACTTTGCTGAGCTGAAGGAGCATGTGGTAACTAAATTCAAAGAAGCTAGGAATCATGATACAGGAGCTGACAGCCAAAATAGTTTAGAGAGGAACATAACTGGCCTTTTAGAGCTAAAAAACACACTACGAGAATTTCACAATCACAAGTATTAACAGCAGAATAGACCAAGCAGAGGAGAAAATCTCAGAGCTTGAAGACTATCATTCTGAAATCAGACAAGAATAGAGAAAAAAAAAATGAATGAACAAAATGTCTGAGAAATATGGGATATGTAAAGAGACCAAATCTTCAAGTGACTGGAGTATCTAAAGGAGATGGGCAGAACAGAGCCCCACTTCCCCCACCCCAGCACACTGCAACAGCCTTACAGAAGAGTGGCCAAACAGAAAACAACCCACAAAAGCCCCATCCAAAGGTCTACAGCCTCGAAGATCAAAGATAGATAAGGCCACAAAAATGGAAAACATACTTCAGGTTATCATCCAGGAGAAATTACCCAATCTGGCAAGACAGGCCAATATTCAGGAAATCCAGAGAAACTCAATAAGATACTCCATGAGAAGATCAAACCCAAGACACATAATCATCAGATTCTTCAAGGTCAAAATGAAAGAGAAAAATTTTAAGGGCAGTCAGAAAGGACCAGGTCATCTATAAAGGAAAGCCTATCAGACTAACAGCAGACCTTGCAGTGGAAACCCTACAAGCTAGAAGAGATTGAGAGCCAATATTCAACATTCTTAAAGATTTTCCAACCCAGAATTTCATACTGGGCCCAATATCTGGATAACAAAGCAAGGCCTATTGGTATGCTGACTACAAGAAATCCATCTCACATGCAAAGACACACATGGGCTCAAAATAAAGGGTTGGAGGAAAAGTTACCAAGCAAATGGAAAACAGAAAAAAGCAGGGTTTGCAATCCTAGTGTCTGACAAAACAGACTTTAAACCAATAAAGATAAAGAAAGACAAGGGCATTGCATAATGGTAAAGGGTTCAATTCAATAAGGAGAGAGAACTATCCTAAATACATATGCATCTAACACAGGAGCACCCAGATTCATAGAACAAATCCTTAGAGACCTGCAAAGAGACTTACACTCTCACACAATAATAGTAGGAGACTTTAACACCCCGCTGACAATATTAGACAAAATCAACAAAGACATTCAGGACTTGAACTCAGCTCTGGAGCAAGTGGGCCTGTTATATATCTACAGAACTGTCCACCCAAACCCAACAATATACATTCTCCTCATCACCACACAGCACTTACTGTAAAAATTGATCACATAATTAGAAGTAAAACACTCCTCAGCAAATGCAAAAGAATTGAAATCATAACACTGTCAAACAACAGCATCATAAAATTAGAACTCGAGATTAAGAAATTCATTCAAAACCACACAACTAATGGAACCTGAACAACCTGGTCCCGAATGACTCTTGAGTAAATAATGAAATTAAGGCAGAAATAAAATGTTCTTTGAAACTAATGAGAACAAAGAGACAACATACTAGCATCTTTGGGATGCAGCTAAAGCAGTGTTAAGAGGTAAAGCTATAGCACTAAATGCCCATATCAAAAAGCTAGAAAGATCAAGTTAACAAACTAATATCACAACTAAAAGAACTAGAGAACCAACAGCAAACAAACCCCAAAACTAGCAGAAGACAAGAAATAACCAAGATCAAAGTGGAACCGAAGGAGATAGAGGCATGAAAACCTTTCCAAAAAAAAAAAAAAATCCAGCAGTTAGTTCTTTGAAAAAATTATTAGACCACTAGCTAGACTAATAGAAGAATCAAATAGACGCCATCAGAAATAAGGGGGATATTACCACTGATCCCATGGAAATCCAACTATCAGAGAATAAACACCTCTATGCACATGAACTAGAAAATCTAGAGCACACACACCCTCTGAGACTGAACTAGGAAGAAATTGGATCCCTGAACAGGCCAATAATGAGTTCTGAAATTGAGGCAGTAATAAATAGCCTACTAACCAAACAAAACCCAGGACCACAGAGACTCACAGCTGAATTCTATGAGAGGTACAAAATAGAACTGGTACCATTTCCACTGAAAGTATTCCAAAAGATTGAAAAGAAGGGCCTCCTCTCTAACTCATTCTATGAGGCCAGCAGCATCCTGATACCCAAACCTGGCAGAGATAAAAGAAGAAAACTTCAGGCCAATATCTTTGATGAACATTGATGCAAAAATCCTCAACAAAATACTGGCAAACAGAATCTGGCAGCGTATCAAAAAGCTTATCCACCATGATCAAGTAGGCTTCATCCCCAGTATGCAAGGTTGGTTCAATATATACAAATCAATCAATGTGATTAATCACATAAACAGATCTAAAGACAGAAACCATGTGATTATCTCAATAGATGCAGAAAAAGCCTTCAATAAAATTCACCCCTTTCTGTGAAAACACTCCCAATAAACTAGGTATGGAAGGAACATACCTCAAAATAAGGGCCATCTATGACAAACCCACAGCCAATATCATACTGAATGAGCAAAAGCTGGAAGCTTTCCCCTTGAAAAGTGGCACAAGCAAGATGCCCTCTCTCACCACTCCTAGTCAAGATAGTATTGGAAATTCTGGGCAGGTCAATGAGGCAAGAGAAAGAAATAAAAGGTATTCCAATAGGAAGTCAAACTATCTTTGTTTGTAGACGACTTGATCCTATATCTTGAAAACCCCACTGTCTTAGCCCCAAAGCTTCTTAAGCTGATAAGCAACTTCGGCAAAGTCTCAGAATACAAAATCAATGTGCAAAAATTGCTAGTATTCCTTTACACCAACAACCATCAAGCCAAAATCCAAATCATGAATGAACTCCCATTCAGAACTGCCACAAAAGAGTAAAATACCTAGGAATATAGCTAACAAGGGATGTAAAAGACCTCTTCAAGGAAAACTACCCCACTGCTCAGAGAAATCAAAGAGGACACAAACATATGAAAAAACATTACATGCTCATGGACAGAAAGAATATGAAAATGGCCATACTGCCCAAAGCAATTTATAGATTCAGTGCTATTCCCATCAAAACTACTGTGGACATTCATAACAGAATTAGAAAAAAACTAAAAATCCATATGGAACCCCAAAAGAGCCCGAATAGCCAAGACAATCCTAAGCAAAAAGAACAAAGCTGAAGGTATCACGCTACCTGACTTCAAACTATAGTACAAGGCTATGGTAACCAAAATGGCATGGTACTTACACAAATACGCAGATCAGTGGAACAAAATAGAGAACCCAGAAATAAGACTGCACACCTAAAACCATCTGTTCTTCAACAAACCTGACAAAAACAAGCAATGGGGAAAGGATTCCCTATTTAATAAATAGTGTTGGAAGAACTGGCTAGCCATATGCAGAAGACTGAAGCTGGACCTCTTCTTTATACCATATACAAAAATCAACTCTATTGATTAAAGACTTACCTATAAAACTCAAAACTATAAAACCCTAGGAGAAAGCCTAGGCAATACCATTCAGGACATAGGCATGGGCAAATATTTCATGATGATGCCAAGAGCAAAAATTGACAAATGGGATCTAATTAAAGAGCATCTGCGCAGCACAAGAAATATCAGAAAGAACAACCTACAGAATAGGAGAAAGTTTTTCAATCCATTTAACAAAGGGCTAATAACCAACATCTATAAGGAACTTCAATTTACAAGAAAAAAACAACCCCAGTAAAAAGTGGCCAAAAGACATGAACAGACATTTCTCAAAAGAAGACATTCATGTAGCCAACAAACATATGAAAAAAAGCTCATCACTGATCATTAGAGAAATGCAAATCAATGAGCTACCATCTCATGCCAGTCAGAATGGCAATTGTTAAAAAGTTAAACAACAGATGCTGGCAAGGTTGCAGAGCAAAAGGAACACTTTGACACTGTTGGTGGGAGTGTAAATTAGTTCAACCATTATGGAAGACAGTGTGATGATTCCCCAAAGACCTAGAGGCAGAGATATCATTTGACCCAGCAACCCCATTATTGCGTATATATCCAAAGGAATAGAAATCATTCTATTATAAAGATACACACATGCGTATGTTCATTGTAGCACTATTCACAATAGCAAAGACATAGAATCAACCTAAGTGCCCATCAATGATAGATTGGATAAAGAAAATGTCATACACCATGGAATACTATGCAGCCATAAAAAGGAATGAGATCATGTCCTTTGCAGGGATATTGATGGAACTGGAGGCTATTATCCTCAGCAAACTAATGCAGGAACAGAAAACCAAATACCCCATGTTTGCACTTGTAAGTAGGAGCTGAATGATAAGAACACATGGACACAATGGGGCAAGGGGAGGAGGGAGAGCATCAGTAAGAATAGCTAATGGATGCTGGGCTTAATACCTAGGTGATGGGATGATCTGTGCAGCAAACCACCATGGCCCATGTTTACCTCTAACAAACCTGCACATCCTGCATGTGTACCCCCAAACCTAAATTTTAAAAATGGCAAAGATGAAAGGGCAGTTCATGAAAAAGAAAATCTTAAAGCTGTGAAAAGGCATTTCATCTCTCTGTGAAGTATTTCCTATGAAGAAAAATGTACAGACCATTGTTTTCAACCTATCAATTGGCAAAGAGAAGGGAAATCTCTGAACACACTGTGTTGGTGACGAGTTAGAGAACAGAATGGCTGGAGCAACTCCATTAGAGGCAGTTTCATCCGATCTATCACATTTCTAAATGCATATGGCCTTTGCACAGCAATTGTGCTTTCGGGAGTTTACCCTACAGCCATCTTGGGCAGGAATATGCCTGTGTGATGTAGCAAATGACTGAAAACAACCCATATTGGAATCTGTAAGGGACAGGTAAAAGAAGTCATGGTATAGCTTCACAATGAAATACGATGCAGTCAGTGAAAAGAATGAGGCAGATGTATAAAGCTAATAAGGAATAACCAAAGTAGAAGAAAGCACATAATGTGTTGCCATTTGAATTCAAAACAAGGATGTAAGGTAAGTGACAGCAAGTTGACAGTTGCTGAAGTTGAATGATAGGTAGATAGGGTTTCACTGTAGTCTTCTCTCCAATTTTGAGTGTTTGAAAATTTCCATAGTCTCTCTCTGCAGAGAGCGCGAAGGGGGCGGGACTATAACTGGGACTTTTTACTACATCCCAAATTGTATTCTATAAAAGCTTAGTAACAGTGATGATTGCTTCTGGGGAGGGAGACTGTTTTCTGAATGACCCTTTATACTGTTGAGATTTTTAATTATAGGCATGTATTACCTATTAACAAATGTAAAGGCTAAAATATCAGGCATCTGCTTTTTATAGACTTTGCATGTTTATAGTAACGTAAGTGGGAAACAAACACCCCTCTGAATACTGTAATCATTTGAATCCCCTTGAAAACATTGTGTTCTGAGACGTTCTTTCTCTTCAGAGACCTGGGTGCTTCTGTGTATAATTGATTCCCTTAAAGACATTTGATGGGTGTGTCTGATGAATAATTAGTATATTATATAAAGCCAAAGAAATTCAGTTAAAGTTTCTGGAAGTCTTGTGTATCTGGCAGGGAGAGTGCAAGACCTTGGTAGCTGTGTTTTAGATTTACAGGAGGAATGGACTCATTTTCATTAATTCGTAACTAACTGAGTGTGATGGCTCCATAAAGAATGGCACTGTGACAACTGATTTTTTTACTATTTTAAGTCCACGTCAATTCAGCATATTCCCTACACATCTACTGTGTTCAAGGGACTGGACTTAAAAGCTCAAAAAAGTCTGTGCCTTTTTAGGGCAGAGCTGGCATACTGGTAACTCCAGGCTATCGCAGCAGATGAGCAGGGGGTCCTGGAGGGAAGACTGTGGAAATGCCCAAGGTTGGAGAGATCTTAGGGGAGGGCGAGAGCTGGAAAACAGAGTGGGCACAGAAGGACGCTCAGCAGCACCTTGGTCAGTTATTAGCCCGTACTTTGCGGGTAGTAACAAACGCTCTCAAAAAACTCAGTTTTCTTGTATTTCATCTTCTTTAGGTGAACATACTGACAAATGGGTCTTGTTTTCTCATTACATATTGGTATTTCTGATAAGCAAGGATCCAACCCCCAGATTTCTAGACTCTGCAAGTGCAGGTTTCGACATCAGATGCCCACAGAGGTCAGAAGGGCACACACCCTTATCCATTCAGAGCCATATTCATTCTGCTGAACAGTTGAAAGTCTGGGGTCAACCTCTGAGTGAACTGGCCAGCACCTGATTGATCTACAATCATGGCTTAAATTAATTGGCTTTGCTCACATCTGCATCCTGCCTGAGCATTTGTGAAGGAGTAGCTGCTGCTTACCAGTAACAGCCCCAGCTCATCATTCATCACCTTTTTTATGGGTTTGAGGAGGAATCTGGACCTCCTTGTAATAGCTGCCACCCTCTTCCCATGGGAACTTCAGCAAATTGGCCTTTTCTTAGAAGAGATTGTGCCAGACTGGTGAATCTTGTGCTATAAAATATTGTATGTTGCATATAATACAGACAGATAAGATGTTGATTAGGAGAAATGTTGTATCTTGACAGCAACACTGAACTGAAGATCTCCACCTTTGCTAAGATGCAGCAAACAGCTAGATGAATATACTGAATTATTTTTCCTCTAATATAGTTGATGGAATGAAAAGAAAATAAGCTTGTTTCCTTGATCAAGACTGGGGAGTTAGGATGAGAAGCTTGAATTCCAAGGGTCCTTTTACCATGAAGGAAATGGTACATTGCAAAGGTATGTTTGTGGACTAGAGAGCAAGTTCATTCAGCTGTCCTTCATTTAAAAAAAGTCGAACAGAACATTTGATAGAAGATGAAATGGTTTCTATAAAGACTTAGCTCACACTTTAAATGTGAGGTGTACCAAGATGGTGTTTGTGATACTGTCTTCTTCTGGAATGCTTTGATGGTAAACTTGGACAAATGAAGCAGGATTAGTTGTGTAGCTGTGTTTGTCATGTGGTTCAGGGAAGGGCATGAGGAACTCCAAAGTACAAAATGTCAGTGGATTCAATTTGTGCTGCCAAATAAGAGCCACCTCCAAATATTCTCCACACCGGCATGGAATTAATTCCCATCCCCTATGTGTGATGGGAGAGAAATCACACACTAATCTATATCATATGTCTCGGAAAAGTTCCAGACAGACACCAGCCTGGAGTGAGAAATGTGGATTTTTCAGTGACTGATGTTTAAAGGGTAACATTTCCTTAGTTTCATAAAACAGAATGAAGAACTTTTTCGGGCCTGATTTAAAGGAAGTCTTGGAAGAGTCCCTGCTGGTAGAGAAAAAAACATCAGCGGTAGGAATACTTTCTTCTGATCACATGGTCTATTAGAGGTAGCCCCAGTTTGACATGGTACCCAGGTGAGTTGCTTAAAAGAGAAATAACAAGGTTCAGGATGAAGGGTACATGGGAAAAGAGCTTCCCTGCTCTTTGGCTACCTGAAATGTGCACACAAAATACTGATATTGGTGCATTTTATGAGTTCATAGCTTTTGTTAGATTCTCAAGCAAGTCCACGGACCAGAAAAGTTTAGGGTGTGCCTGCCACCTTCCATGACTGCAAATCCAAATCAAATTCAAAAAACAAATGTAAAAGAACTATCAACAGCTAATAAACAGAAGAAACTATATGTGGACTTTCACTAATAATGAAATGGGAGTGGACTTTGCAAGCATGAAAGGAATGGGAAAATTCACCAAAGAAAAATTCAATATTCAAAACCAGGATTATTCTCATGCCAAAAAGTCATAACTAAAATTACAATAAATTACCAACATATTTTTAAAAGAAACTCTTACAAACCAGGAAGAAAAATTCTACTTCTCAAACAGAAAGAAATAGGCAAAGGATAGGAAGACACAATTCACAGAACAAATACTGTTAACAGCAGTGGTATGCTTCAGCTGGCTCATAACTGCCACTTCCCTACTCCTCATTCAGTAATGTCATGTTAGTAGCTTGAAACAGGCCACAGTGGGAGGTTTTATACTAGAGAAATCAGCTATAAATCAGGATATTTTTTAAAGGGCCAGTTTGCTGGTATACCGTTGGCTAATGGATATATAAAAAGTAGTTCAAGTGTACCAGTAATCAAAAAAATACAAGAAGAAATGAGGTCTGGACAAAGTGGAATAAGCACATTTCACCCTATTTCTCCTGCTAAGTGTAACAAAAATGTGTGGACATAATTTGTAAAGCAGCTAACAGAAGACTGAAAGTTGGAGAAAAGAAAGTATGCTGGCTCAGGATCTCAGCACTCAAGGAACCACTCAGTGGTGTATTTGTGTGTGTGCACTTTCATATATCTTGGCCTGGGCTTTGGATAGGCCCACAACTGGAAAAGCCAGCTATTTTGAGCCAAAATACTGGAGAAAGAGCATTCCAGAAATATAGAACTGTTTTGACCATACCTGACCTTACTCCAGCACAACACTTGAAAAAAGCCATGCCTCCCTCCCACTCCTCACCAGGCATCATGGCCTAGAGACTGGCAGATCTCTACTTTCCATCACTTCTTAAAATAACATGCCACATCCCTTCCCTGGAACGGAGACTACGGGTAGAACTTGTAGTCGATTTCTTGTCACCATGGGGTCCAGAAGGAAGTGGAACAACATTTTTTAAGTATTGAAAGGAGAAAATAGTCAATGCAGAATTCTATATCCAGCAAAACTATCCTCCAGGCACAAATACATTCTCAGATAAAGGAAAATAAAGAGAATTTGTCACCTACAGATTTGCTTTAAAAAATGGCTGAAGTTTTTCAGAAAATAAGCAAACTTGAAACATCATCAGGAGTGAAGAAAGAACAGAAAAGTAAATATATGAGTAAATGTAGTAGACCCTTCTTAAGATTTAAAGATTATGTTTCCATAATTTGCTGAAGGCAAAACTGCAACATCTGAAATAACTCTCAATATGCATAAAGGTAATATTTAAGACATCTGTGTTATAAAAGGAGGAAGAAAAAAAGACCTAAAAGGTGATAGTTTCTGTACTTTACATGAAGTGATAAAATATTAACACTAGTAGACTGTGATAAAGTAAGTACATATACTTTAGTCTTTAGAGCAGTGGTTTTCAATCGGGAGGTTCTGCTTTTCAGAAGACATTTTGGCAATGTTTGGAGACATAATTACACATGTTACCGCTATCTAGTTGATAGAGCCATGGATGCTGCTGAAAATTCTACAATGCACAGGAAAACTCCACATCACAAAGAGTATTCAGTACAATATGTCAAAATGCTGAGGTTGAGAAACTGTCCTAATCGTACAAAAAACACCTACAAAGATGTATACTCAAAAACATAAATGTAGATAAATCAATATGGAATACTAACATATGTTCAGCTGAAGTACAGGAACACAGAATCAAAGAGCACAATGAAACAAAAACCAGAGGGAACAGACACAATATTAGCACGGTAGACTTAAGTCCAAACCTACCAACAATTGCATTAAATGTAAATGTTCTAAACACACCTATTAAAAGACAGTAACTGGCTAAATGGATGAAAAAATATAATCTATATGCTGTCTACAAGAAACTCTTTCCAAATGTAATGCCATACATATGTTAAAAGGATGGGAAAATATATACCTTGCTTTTTATGCTGTTTTTGGAAGTACCCATTTCTCATTGCTGCAGTCCTGAATTATGTTTCCTATTGTGAAATATCATTAATGATTGCAAAAAGACAACACTAATACGAATCAAAATAAAACTGGAGTGAACATACTAATATCAGATGAAGTAGATTTTAGAACAAAGATTACCAGAGCTAAACAGAGACATGACATAATGATAAAAGCTCACTTTACCAAGATGACACAACAATCCTAATTGTGTGTATCACAGCAGAGCTTCAAAATACATGAAGCAAAAATGGATGAACTCAAAGGAGACACAATTATAGTTGGAAAGTCCAACATCTCCTCTTAGTAACTGATGGAACTACTAGACAGCAAAAAACCGAGATAGTTTGTTTTATTTATCAAACTGGTAAAAGTTAAAATTCAGCATTAGCAAATTTTAACAAAGTCATAGTGAGAAAGACAATAATGTGGAAACACAAACATATATAAGAGTTCTGAAAACATATTGTTAAATTATGAGGCGTAAAAGGGTCATACAATCTTCCAATCCAATATTTCACTTTTGAGAATCTCTCCTAGGGGAATAATTAAAGAGGTTCAATATTTACTTGTCTAGAACTTTATTACAGACATTAAGACATGCCCAATAACTGGCAAGTACTTAAACAATTATTCAAGTATAGTGTTATTGTTAAATACCATTTTTAAGGATTTTTAATGCCATTTTAAATGGGATTGATTTTTAAAGCTAAAAAAAAAAAGCAGTTTATAAAGCCGTGATCAAATCATCTAAATTATGTTAAAATATACAATTATAAAAAAATTAGAAAATATAACAGCAGTGAAAAATTACTAGTGATTATCTCATGCTTTTTTCTCCTCCCTTCAAGTTTTCTCTTGTGAAATATCATTCATTGTTGCAGCAAACAGAAACGGTTACTTCCAAAACAGCATAAAAATAAGATAATAATACATAAAGCAACCAATACAGTGATAGGTCTGGCACAGAGACGCCCTATAGGTGGTATAATTCTTATAAATAATTTTGAACTAAAATGATGAGAAACTATAGCTGATTATTCTTAGGGTGACTATCTCTCTTGGATTGCCTGTCTCTATTTTACCGTCCAGGCCTAATTATTATTAGTGCCCTTGCTATTCTCAAAAGTATCATAGTTTATATTAGTTGCATGGGTGCTCTAACTATTCAAATGCTAAAAAATAAGACTAGTAAATTCAAATATATCACACCCTTATTATACTCCAGGCACCAAACTAACTGCTTTATGTGAATTATCTCATTTAACCATCTGAGTAGCTGAATTGTCTCTGTTTTATAGAGGCACCAAGAAGGTAAGCAACTTGTCTAAGCTCACACGTTAACAAGTAGCAGAATCTGGATTTGAACTACATCCTATCATATCAGTATTGAAATCATACCTGGACCTGCCTAAGTGCAGGGATGGCTGGCAGGGGTCTGACAGGGACGCCAGGCGCACGCGGAGCCTGGTGGAGGGGTGGAAGCACTCGCTGAGTTGACTGGGGCTGAGGGACATTCAGGCCATTGAGGGGTCTGCTGATGTCAACATTCTGACACTGTAGCAATCTCCTGGGATGGTCCTGCGTGGTCAAAGTAAAAAGCCATGCTATAGTGGGTTTCAAAAAGACAACACTAATACTAATCAAAATAAAACTGGAGTGAATATACTAACATCAGATGAAGTAGATTTTAGAACAAAAATTACCAGTGGGTTTCAAAAATATCAGTAATTCTTTAAGGGAAAAGCAGTGCCAACTCCTCTGCTATAGCTGAAGGCCAAGGTGGGGTACAGGAAAGAAATCAAGGGTGCACACAAGAGGGAAGCTATTACTTATTTAAACTTCAAAATTCTAACAGAAGCACCACCTGCCTCCACCCCACCAAATCTCTAATAGAAGGATCGATTTTTATTTATATTTTTAAAAACTGTTATTAATAGGTACAAAGCACTTGAAAAAGTACCAAGCCTAAAGACACAGACCGAGGTCTTAGGGGAATTACAAAAGAGATGTGAAAATAAGACACAGCTTAATGTATGCAAGGCTCAGTGAGAACTGAGACGACCACTGGGGAAAGGAGGGTGACGGCTTCAAGAAGCCACAGCTGGGGTGGGCTTGGAGTTGGAGATGTTCTCCCACCTGGTAACCCTTGTTCTTAGAACAGGTGCTGCAGGGGCCCTTACACCTCAGGCTTCCACCCTTTCCCTCCTCTCTTTCTAAAAACAGCTTAATTGAGGTATAACTGACATAAAGTGTATAATTTGGTCATTTTTGACATTATCTTTACACCCATGAAACCGTCACAGCAAACAAATGGACAGATGAATGTACCCCTCACCCCAAGGAGTTTCCTTGTCATCCTTCCTTATCCCTTCCCTCTCCCTCCAAACATCAATCTATTTTCTGTCACTATCAGTTAGTTTGCATTTGCCAGAACTGTATATAAGTGGAATCATAGCGTATGTACTCTGTTTGGGTTTTCTTCTTTTACTCAGAATAATTACCTAGAGATTCATCCACAGTGTTGTGTACATCAATGGTTCATTCCATTGTGGGAATATACCGTTGTTTGTTATCCTTTTACTGGGTGGTGGATATTTGGATTGTTTCCAGTCTGGGGCTCTCAGAAATAAGGCTGTGCTATTTTAAAATTTTTACTTTAAAAAAAAAATTAAAAAATGAAAGATGTGCTTTTGGCTACCACACAAAGCCATTCTTGCTTATGGTTCCACCTTTGGGGACAGGTAGGGGTAAAGCTTATTGGAAATGGCAGCCTCTTCCTTGGTGCCCCACCCTCTACACTTTTTGGGTCAAGGGAGCTAAAACAGTTTATTGTCTGCTGATTATGCGGCAATGATTTTTCAATCACTTCTCATTTTTTTTGACACCAATCTTGTTCACGATTATAATTTGGACTCTTGTTGAATGAATTCAATATTCAAGAATTCTTGTGGATACATCAGAAAAATTTGGTGGGAAGAAACTATGAGAATGAACTCTAGCTATAATTCACCAGGATAGCAAGAGAGTGAAGAGACAGCAGGAAGCCATGGGGTCCTCTGGGTTAAGGATCCAGTTCTCTGAAACTGCAGGGTAGACAGGGCTTCCTCAGCTCAGGGCTGGACAAAATGGGCAATTCTGAGGGCTCCATGTAACTTTGAAAAACACTTTAAGAGTAACAGTGGGCCAAAGCAGCTCACCTAAAGTGAGGTGGTGGCATTTGGAAGCCATAGTGGGGCTGGTATTGGGAGCCGGTATCAGGAACCAGCTTGGGCTGCTGATCCAGTGGGGCCCTGGAAATGTGGCCGGTGTGTCACTGGAGGGATCGCAGCTCACGATAGGCTGCACCACATCACGCAGGGGACACTGACTGCCTCCACAGGATCTAGGTTGGCTCCCACTGGGGCACCTTGGGGCCTCCCTCTGGCCCAGTCATCACAGAGACCCTCCCAGAGCCTGCTGACCTGGCGATGCTGACTCAGCATTTCACAGGCAGTGCCTCTGGGATCCCATTCTTATTCAATCTTGTATTGAAAACCTCATATCTGCATGCGTGTACTAAGTGCTCGCATCTATTCAGGACTTACCTTCGGTGGGTAGGAATCTGGCGGCTTCCTCATCAGTCCTTTTCCAAGGTGGCTGAGGTGAGCCTGACTGGGTTGGGAGCCACTGGGTGGCCGGGAAGGGCGCACACACCTGCAACACAATCCCACACCTGCTGAGCAAGCGTGTTTCCTTTCTCACTGACTTGACTTTTCACACTTTGCTCACAGAGGCACTCGAAAGACAGTTTGCTTAACTCAGTTAAAGTTAACAGGCAAAGGAAAGTTAACACACAAAGGAAAAAGTACCTAACACTCTTAGAAGATTAAGAAATAAATATGAATTTTCCTCTCAAAACCTCTATTTTCTCGCATCAGTTCTTGCACTCCATAGAAGTGCGGCGCCGTGACTCCTGGAAGGTGACTTGTATGAAGCTGGCATTTCAGTGATTATGTCTTTGAATATATTTGGATCAAAAGCTACCCCATCTGATGAAAATATTTCAATGTCTCCATGTCGTATAAAAATTACTCATATAAGGGTGGGAGAAAGCACATCAGTGGAATTCCCTGACACCCTGCTCGCTTATGTAATAAGCAGCATGTTGTTGTTTGAAGGGAAGTAAATGAGGCAGCTGATCTGGCAGAAATTTAAAACCAAAAAAAAAACAAAAAAAACCCTGAAAAGAACGAAGTCCCAGTTTTATGACCAGAAAATCTGAACTTTGCTAAAAAATGAAGTGAGAAACAGTTTGCTATACATTTTTTCGAGCCACCGTTTCTTGAAAAGATGACAAGTTAAACCCAGGGTACCTTAGTTTTTCAATGGTGGTCTTTTTATTTGTAAACAGCAGACGTATCAAGGTCTTCCTTTTGAGATAAACCACAAATCCAGCGGCAAGAAGACACAGGATGGTCACCAGAATTCCTACGGTTAAAGCTTGGTTATCTGAAACAAAACACATTGGGCTCACGGAAGGCAGCAGTTACAGTGACGTATGGGAGGTATCAAGTTGTGACATTTATGGCAAAGTGAACTTCGAGGCAACAAACAGAAATGAAGAGAGTAAACCCTTGAGTGATGTACTAATAAACTGTCTTACTGCAAAGGTCATGCTTGAGGTTCAATCTATGTTACCATCATTCATTTCTGACAACTCTAGAACTTGCTAAACAGGAATATAGTTGGGTATGTGGGGTGATGGCCTGGACCACACAGGCTCCGTGAGGCGTGACAATGGCACAGTGGACCATGGTAGCCACAGAAGGTAGCAGGGAGTCATCACTGAAACCTCACCAGAAATACAGCCATCCCCAGGCTAAAATGTTCCCAGCCCTCAGCACGGATTTGCCACCTCCAAATGCCTCTCTTTTCTCATTCTGTACTTTTGCGTTCTGCTTTATCTTTTCTGTATTTTTAAAAAACGAGATGCTTTTTTTCTGGACGTCTCAAAGTAGATAGTGGAAAAAAAAAGAAAACTCATCACTTTAATGAAACACCCATGGGTTTTGCTTTGCTACATTAGGGACTTAAAAAACACAGACTTGTGGGGAAACCCTTTTCCTGGGAGGAAGCTATTTTCTCTATGAAAACATCATCTTTTGTATGACCTGCTGCCATTTTGTTTAGTACAGGTAAGAGCATCCTCAAGAGTATGGAAAGGAAGGAAAAATCAAACCCTCAGACTGATTTCTCACAGCAGCTATGGTCAGAGCCTGTCTGGGAAGGACTCCAAATGCTCAGACTTAGAGGAGATCTACTTGTGATGTCAGCTGGACTGTGGATTCCCAGAGGACAGGGATCTTGATTCATTCGTCTTCCCCCCAGCAAGGATCAGGGTGTACTTCATATTAGATAAGTGCACCACAGTCCTTTGAGGCTGCTGGTGATCGCCGTCAAGGTGACTGCAGTTGCCTGAGCTCTCCCGATCCTGCCCTCCCACCTGGACCCTCAGCTGGCTGTGGACCGCAGCAGCAGCAGCTCCTACTCCAGGGTAAGAATGTCTTTCATGCCCTATCGGTTTCTGGACCTCATCCCCCACTAACAAGGCCTATCAGGGATGTGTCTTAGCCTAAGCAAGACAGCCAACAGATGACAGTCTTGACTCATTTGTTAGTGTTACTGGAAAAGCATTGCTTCTGGTTTCCTAGCCAAAATGTCATTCTTTTCAGACCCTTAGCAGTGATCACAGGGGCTCTGGCTAGAGTTCTGGTGTCTCGTAACAAAGCTAATTTAAAAAGTGAGCCGCAAAAGTCTTGAACTATAGTTTCTAGTTCTATAAAGTAAACCCATAAGTCTTCAGTACATCAATCTATGAAACTGAACATTTACAGGGCCCCCACACTGAACCTGTTGCATGCCCCAGGGTTGCTAGGCCCGGGCAGTGAGTGACTCCATCTCCCTCCTCCCCATGACCAGCACGAGCACCGTGTCCTGTGTCCCCTCTTGTCGGCCCAGTCCACACTCTGGATCTTCGCATAGCCAGCTGTCTCTGCTTCAGAATGCACAATTCCCTCGCTGCTTCAGACCTCAACAGATGCAGAGTCCCCAGGAGTCTTCCTGCTGCTCCGTGGGGGTTGCTCCCCTCCCATGACGCCCTCTCTTCCCGCACTTATGCCATGTCATACTTGCTTAATGTCTCTCCAGCACCCAGGAGAGTGGCTGGCATGTGGCAGACACACAAGTACTCATTTAATGAGCCTTTGAGCCACGGCCCGGCCAGGAGCAGCAGGTCATGCTTGTTCACGGTCCGCCTTGATTTTATATATGTATGTGCAGGGTGGAGGCAGCGGTATTGAAAATGTACTTTCTTTTATGAAATAACGGCCACAGGGGATGGAGTTAGGCTCTTCACTTGTCTTGGCTTTTTAGCATTCTCTTTGTTAAATGAAGGCTCAGTGACTCTGTGAGTTCCCTGGCTTTTGGCAAACCCTCAAACCTGAGTACTGCCGGTCATGTATGTCCACACCGAAGAGCCACAGAGCTCACCGCCCTTTTACCTGCCTTCTTCCCTGTTTTGTTTCAATGCCATTCAGTTTGCCTGGCTGGACATACAATGCGTAGCTGGGGCTCTGATAAATTAAAAACTAAAACCTTGCTGTTTTCATAGAATGAATGCTAAAAAGCCACATCAGAGCATTAAGTTTCAGCCAGAGACCAGTCTTGAGGGCTGTCAAAGCTGAGCTGTCGCTGGGGCAAGGGGACCCTGGGCCCAAACCTTTCTTCTTCTCCATTGCTACAGAGGCTCAGTGAAAGGCCAGACTTTTGAGTTCTTTTCCTCCTTGCTGCAGGGCCTGCTACAGTGGTGACCTGGTGCTCTCTCAGGCGTGGCACTGAAGCACGCCCACATTTTAGCAGAAGCTGGACCAGGAACTCGCTGTTTCTGCAGACATGCCTGGTAGGCTGGACTTCCCCTCCCGAGCCGGGAGAGCTGTGTTGTGTCTGTCGTCATGGAAACGACGGCAAAGCCACAGAGTCAATGCTGCCTGTCACAGGAGGCCTTGGGCGGGCGTGACCTCCTCTGCAGCAGCACTGGGAGTGGTCTCCAAGTCATGGGAGGGCGCAGATGAGTGTCAGTGCAGCCGCAGGTGCGCGCTCACGCCATCCCACTGGCTCCTGGCCCCGGCTGCGCTCCCTGTTGGAGCTCTGCAGCTTCCTGCCTTGCTTCTTTGCCTCGAAAAGGCGCGTCATTCAGATTTGCCCCTGAATTGCCCAATAAGAACTCAAGAGAAAACAGCACCACATCAGGAGGCCATTTCTAAAGGTCATCTGAGGAAAAAGGGCTGCGATTCCAAGCACAGCCGCTACTAAGAGCTTCTTGGGGGACAGGCTGACCTGTGTCTAAATCTTAGCGAGATCCCATTAGATAAAATAGTTAACCTCCCTGAGCCTCAGGTTCTTTGTATATGAAAAAAGAATCATAGGACCTTCTTCGGAGTTGTGTAAGGAGTGGATGACGTCATGCGCATGAAATGCACCGCACAGCACCTGCACATCTGTTCCACACACAGAAGCTGCTGCAATGACTCCCACTCTCCCTTGACTGTCACTTTTACTAAAAGGTGGGTGTCTTTCCAGTAAGTCTTTTAAAAGGCATTGAGCTTCACACCTCTTTTTTTTTTTTTTTTTGAGACAGAGTTTCACTCATGTTACCCAGGCTGGAGTGCAATGGCGTGATCTCGGCTCACCGCAACCTCCGCCTCCTGGGTTCGGGCAATTCTCCTGCCTCAGCCTCCTGAGTAGCTGGGATTACAGGCACGCACCACCATGCCCAGCTAATTTTTTTTGTATTTTTAGTAGAGACGGGGTTTCACCATGTTGACCAGGATGGTCTCGATCTCTTGACCTCGTGATCCACCCGCCTCGGCCTCCCAAAGTGCTGGGATTACAGGCTTGAGCCACCGCGCCCGGCCTAGCTTCACACCTCTTGACCCTACCACACAGATGCTGGCCTTTACAAAGTCCTTCGACATGATGATGAAATTCATTCCCATTCAGCAGTTCACTATAGAAATGACCAATGACCTTAGCTAAGAGAAGCGTCACAGGCTAAGGAATTTGCAAACTCAGCCATTCAGTCAAAGCGGAGAGCAAGGGGCCTCGAAGATCAGGCAGGGATGAGAGGGGCATCTGGAAACTGGGGGAGACTCTAGGCTGTATAGATCCATGTGGGGCCCCCACCGGGTTTCTTACTGGTTCTACCTGCACAGCTGCTGACAGCTGGTCAGCCCACTGGCCCCCCACCTCCCACTGGGATGCAGGGCCTCACTGACCTGCTTGCCGGATGGGGCCGCTGTCTGTGCTTCCTCCAAAGCCAAACTTGTCACAGAAGGGAGGTGCCCAGTGGGCCTCACAGTGGCAGTTCTTCCTGTTGTTGCATACCTTTCAGGGCAGAGGGGAGGGGCGTGGGGTTAGGGCACACAGTCTGTGCATCACCACGGCAGAAGCAAGGGGGCCATGGTCAGAGCCCCCCAACACCCTAGCATAGCCAGACTCAGCACCTGCCATGGTGTGAATGAGCCCAAACTCTGCACGATGCACCACACAGGTGCAACCAGACCTGAGGCTGCAAAGACACACCATCTGCCTATTAGCGGCTGTTAAGAGTGATGAAGATTATTTGGGCTTATCTTCCCCCCCACCTCACTTCCTTCTCCATCTTCCTGTCTTCCTTTTTTAATCCAGAAGACTCACTGTCTGACCATGAGGAGAAGCCCCCTCAGCAGTGCAGAGGGACCCTGCTTTGGGGCTACAGACCCAGGGCCCTGGGGCACTGCGGGACCTGACAGATGCTCGGCATGTCCCTGTCTCCTTCAGACAGAAGGGTCAGAGGCTGTTGACTGCCAGGTCCCGAGGCAGGCTGGGGTCCAAGGCAGGCCACGGCAAGGCCTCCTATTTCCCAAGCCCAGCAGCGTGCGTGGGATTTCCACTGACACTTCCTGGAAGCCTCCCCCGTGTGTTGTTCCTGCAGTGTCTGCTTCCTTCTTGCAGTTTCCCTGTGGCTGTTCCCTGGCTTCCAGTCATGCACCAGGGTGCAAATCTAACAGTGGATTCCTTTCCTTGTGAAATAAGGGAATGGTTCTGGCACAGCAGGAAAGGGAGCCCAAGAAAGCCTGAGGAGGCTGTGCTTTGCCCTTGTTGGGCCCAGCTTGTAGACCAGAGCATTCCATGGAGGGGCCAGGAGCTCCTGCCCACCTGGTGACCAAGGGCTACTGATGCTGGCTGGACTCGTTACTGTACCAGATGTAACTAACTGAAAGTACATGAACCAATGGAATATGACCATGAAGACAAGATGATATATATTTAACGTATTTTTTTCTATGAAAATTAGGTTGTTAGATCCAGGCACGGTGGCTCACGCCTGTAATCCCAGCAACTGGGTGGCCAAGGTGGACAGATCACTTGAAGCCAAGAGTTCAAGACCAGCCTGGCCAACATGGTGAAACCCTATCTTTATAAAGGAAAAAAAAAAGTTGTTTTTTTTGTTGTTGTTTTGTTTTTTAAAGAAAATTAGGTTGCATCCTTTGGGAACACTGGATTAAGAAAAATCACTAAAAGAATTTCTGAAAAATTAGGAAGGGGACAGACAACTGCACAGTGATTGAGAAGAGCTGCAGAGGATGAGCAGGACGCTGTTCTTGGATGATGTTGAGTGTCCAAGGTTCCCCTCCATTTAAAGAAACAAACTAGAAATTATTGCTGATGCATTTTTAGGTGGTGTATATCAGGAAGTCGATGTCCAATTACCCAGAGGCCTCAGCCCTCCATCAAAATATGGCTGCCAGATACATACTTTCATATCTTACGGCGAAATAAAACGTGTGGAGTATACATCTCTCATGGAATGCTTCCCTGCTTCAACCAACTTGTTTTGATGAATCAACCACCCATCCCCACTGCTTCAGATAAGAAGGCCGACAGTCAAGATAGGCTTTCATAAGTTAGAAAGTAGACTGCTACAAAGCAGAAATTGAGTAGAATTAGCATGAGGCAGAGCCTATGCCAAATATAAGCGTCTTGCCTGATCCCTCAAAGATGCTCCTGCAGACATACTAGCCCCAGATGCACGCCTGCGCCGAATGGCCTCTCTCTGCAACTGTGGTCATGTGCCTCGTTTTACAACCCACATGAAGGTGCTGCTGTGAGGCTCTCCCATTAGGGTAGGACAATGGCCAAGCTACTCTTCAGCAATGCTTGGCCAGTTGCTCCACCTACCCAGCAAATGTGGACCTCTCCTCTCCCAGGTGTGAATGAGGGCTAGGGATATTGGAAAGGGAGTGGTCCAGGGTCCTCAACCAGCTTGCAGCTGGCCGGCCATATTACCTGAGGCACACCATCCCCCCCAGCTCAGGGCTTGGCTTCTTCAATAAAACAATGGGACTGGACTTGATTATCTCTTAACAGCCATCAGAAAATACTCTATGATCCAGTGAAGACATAAGAAGATTCCATTTTATACTGGGAGTCAGCTAGGCTTACTGTCAACACACCCATCTCAGGCGACACCGTGATCTTTATGGTTCCAGCATGATGGTAATTTACAACCTCACCCCCTCTCCTACCCCACAATTCTGTGTAGGAATCATTGGCAAGTGTCTGCAAGTTTTAAAATAAAGACTTTGGAGCATGATTTCTGTAAAAAAAGGTTTCAGGAAAACAAATGAACCTCTGGTGTGGTTAATCAAGACTAATATGATTCCATTGGAAATAATTAAGCCCATCAAGAAAAATAAATTATGTTTTAAGCAATTAGAGTCCTCTTCTAACCTAAAGGTTCTCTGAACTAAAATAACAGCCTTCTTTAGTTGAAACCCATTGTGTGTGATTTCAAGAACATGTGCTTAATATGATCTGTTGTCCTTGTTTCAATTCCTTCTGGAAGTATTTCAGTTCAGACACCGATTCTGAATGTTGGTAGCAAGAGGAACCGAGCTGTTTGAAATGTTAATTTGAAACTCGTCATGAAGGAAGGTTTGTTTTCAAATTACTTTGAACAACAAAAATCTTTTTTAAAATCATAGAATGTTAATTAAGAAGGTACTTACTACTCAATCTGATTTTCTTTGTTAAATAAAAATCACATGAAAAGGTCAAAGGAAATGAATGTCTTTAGAAGAAAATATTGCGAAGACACTAACGGCTCTATTTTAAAGATGCTATGGATTGCAAAACCTTTTACGAATGAGTGATTTATTGCTTAACTTGTTATGGGCTGGCTGTAAAAGGGCAGCTCAGCCTACTTACCCCCCTGCCGTGGCACTGCTCTGCGCACTCATGAACACCAAAGACGCTAATGTTTTGACATCGACGATTCAGGCAGATCTGTAGGAGGAGGGAAACACGCAAATATCTTAGTATTTCTCCAATCCCTCCAACACACACACATATGTGTATTAAAAAAAAAAAACAAGCAAAAGAAAGCTTGGAGAAGACTCAGCCTTCTCTCCGTTAATACAGATGCGGCATAACAATACATTCTACACTGGACTCTGGCCTGGATCCTGTTACCTGACTCCTCCAAACTCAGCACTGCTCGAGACGAAGTTCAATGGGAACACTATTAAATTATTTTGCATTTTATGGCTTTTAATGTAACTTTCAGTTGATCCTAAAATTATAACTGCTTTTCTTATGAGTTTTGTTTAGAACTTGTAATGAAACCCATGTACTGCAGCATTTTTTTTTCATCCATTAAAAGATATGGGAGAGGGTGAGACAGATTATTCCTTACCCCAGGGCTTGTATAGACATAGATGGAGAGACTCCAAGAATCCAGGATTGAAGAGTCTTTTAAGGGAGAGAATGAAATATGGGGACTTTTTCCAGATACAGACTGACAAGTAATATCATCAATGACATAAACCATCAGCAACGAGGCTCAGCAGAGGAAAACAGACGACTCCTTGAATTTATCAAGCTGTTGTAGTGGCAGGAATTTGCTAAATGATACTGGGCTGGCTGAAAGAGTTCAGCCTCATTTCAAAGGTGCATAATATACTCCAGACTCAAGGGGTGCAGCCCCTTCTTGTTCATAAGAGTTTACAAATCAGTGGAGTCAAAGGAAGAAAAATCTAATGTTTCAATGGCAGAAGAATTTTTAATCAAGTAGAACCTTCCTATGGAGAAGGTCACCCTCCGACCCCAACAGCTCATCTAATGCAAGAGGCATGCCCTTTGGGAGAAGTGCTGGCCAAGCCGCACTGAGGGGATCCCCACTCTGTGGGTGGGAAGCCTGGCCAAGGGGATGGTCACATTCCAGCTGATAAAAGAACCTGGCCTGATTACAGTGAACACAGAAGAGCCCTCATGGGAATCACTGCTAATCCCTGAGCCCTGAGAGAACCAAGGTGCTGAGATCAAAGCATATTTCATCTCGATGGAAAACAAACTTGATAAATTGAGCCCTTGGAATTTGAATGTCCAGATGTACCTGGCCCTGGCTGTTCAGGCTACGGTTTAAAAAACAGTTGTCAGTCAGAATGGCTCTTATTAAAAAGTCAAAAAATAACAGATGCTGGTGAGGTTGTGGAGAAAAAGGAACACTTATATACGGCTAGTGGAGTGTAAATTAGTTCAACCATTGTGGAAAACAGTGTAGTGATTCCTCAAAGGCCTAAAAACAAATTACCATTTGACCCAGCAAACCCATTCCTGGGTAATACCCAAAGAAGTATAAATCATTCTCTCATAAAGACACATGCACTATATGTGCATTGCGGCAATATTCACAATAGCGGAGACGTGAACGCAACCTAAATGTCCATCAATGATAGACTGGATAAAGAAAATGTGGTACATATATACCACGGAATACTATGCAGCCACAAAAAAGAATGAGATAATGTCCTTTGCAGGAACATGGATGGAGCCAGAGGCTATTTTCCTAAGCAAATTAATGGAGGAACAGAAAACCAAATGCCACATGCTCTCACTTATAAGTAGGAGCTAAATGATGAGAACACATAGACACATGGAGGGGAACAGCACACACTGGGCCTATCAGAGAGAGGAGGGTAAAGGAGGGAGAGGATCAGGAAAAATAACTGATAGGTATTAGGCTTAGTATCTGGGAGACAAAATAGTCTGTTCCACAAACCCCCATGACACAGTTTACTTACATAACAAACCTGCACATGTACCCCTGAACCTAAAATAAAAGTTAAAAAATAAAATATGACTTGAGACTAAAAAATTCGGGTGTCATTTTAATGTCAAGGCTTGAATATGAGCAAATGTGGGTAAGGAGACATTCAGAATGTGTAATAAGATCCACATTTTGTCCTACTTCTCAAGAAAAAAGGATTTGTGGCTCAAGGTGTGCAGGGGATGAAGACAGGGGAGTGGAGGGAGCACCTGTCCTCAGGATTCTGTCTCTGCTTCTGTCTTTTCTTCCTGTGACCTCATGTTAGTGAGTGATTTCAAGATCATGTTGAAAATGGAGTCGGAAAAAGCATTTGGGGGTTGTTTCATCTTTTCCCTAAAACATGGTAGCATTAGCTTGCTGTCATTTAGTCTGATGAGAAAGTTTGGTGAAAAATAAAAAAATCAGTATGGCAGAGCATGAAAATCTCAATTTCTTTCTTTTTTAAAAAAAGTTTGACTTTATTTCTAAACCTCACAATATCTCCATGTACCTTTCTCCCTGCTCTCGGAAAGGACTCCCTTTTGGTTTTGAGCTTTTCCCACTCCTTTCCCTCTCCTGTTCTTCTCTCTACAGGGCCTCTAAAAATACATCTGATTCCCCATTCTGTCCCGCTGAGGACAAACCCCCAAGAACTCTGTGCTAAAAACCAAGCCACATATCCAAAACCAATATAATATGCGATTGTATTTCTTTCCAAAGTAATTTCCTGCCTAGAAGTCCTCATGACACCTGGAGTGTAGAAATGCCTTAACACTCAAGGCCTGATTTTCCCCAATCTGCATTTTAACAGTCAGACCAGGATCTAGGATTTATTGACTTTTTTCTTGTAGGTGCACCTGAGAAGAAATAGATTTAGGAAAACAAACAAACCTTGTAACCCAGTTCTTGCACAGGACATTTTTCAATGGGCCCTGTTCCAGACTTACATTTACGATACAAGCAAACGTTTGGGTCTTACTTTTCCATCTCCACACTTTGTGCCTGCAAGCACAAGCCCTGGGTCCGGCATGTCATCGCCCAAGTACACGTGGGTCCCTCGGCACAGAATCCGGCCTCCTTCCTGCTGTGGGATGTTTGTTTCTATGGAAACGGCATTGGTCCCAATGACAGGCCGGCTGGCACCTCCTTGACACTGGATTTTTCCACATTTAGCATCTCTGGAAGGGTAAGAACAAACAATTCCCAAGAGAAACGGTTTGGAACCAACCCTATGCAATGTGGGAAGGTCACAAAGTGAAGGCTGCCGGGATGTCTGGATTCCATACCTCATCTCGCATTTGGCAAAGGAACTCTTGGAGTCTTTGCCACAGTTGCCATAAGGATCACCTGCAGAATTGACTCTCTCAAAGCAGATCCCAGGGGCAGGTTTAGCACCTGAAACAGAAGTAGAACTGCATTTGCATCTCCTGCAGGTGTTTTTCATGGTTTTCTTTGCATGACTCTGGGCCTCTCGAATGGTGAAGGGGAGTTGTATTCAAGAAGTCACACCCAGCGTCTGCACTGACTCATGGCGGGAGCTGGCCAGGGGAAGCCTAGGATGCCAGTAGCTCACATCCTCTCTTGACTCGGCCTACGGCAAAGCACATGTTTCATAGCTGACTCTTCGTTAGGTCTGCTATCTGGGCTCGTGGCATGTGTGGTCTCTCAGGAAATGAGGCCTGACTGTGGGACGAGATCCGATCCAGGGCAGAAAGGAGGTAGTTAGCTGGCTGCAGAGAAGGGGAAGCTTGCTCTCTTTAACAATATCCCACACAATTCCGGTGAGAAAATGCAAGTCAGGGCAGGCTCCAAAGGAGCAATGCAGGATGTCTTCTAAGATACCTTTAGTCCCATAAAGCTCTCTATAAGATCAAGTACTACCTTCTATTAATACCTTCTTTTTTTTTTTTTTTTTTTTTTGCAAGGCAGAGATTTCTCTCAGAGGCCATGGAGTCATAAACCCTGGTAATCCCTGTGTACCGCATGACAGGCTCCAGCAAAGAGGGTCATGGCAGCCACAGAGCTCAGGAAAGGCCATTTTTAGTACATCTAGCCATGGAAAGAGAGCACATTTAATTGGGGTTTGCAGTGCCAAAGCTCTGGAGGACTCTTGAATCCTGCGCTTAGTGATACCTGTTGAAGACTTTTGAGCAAGTTAAGAGAACATGCCACGTTCTTCAGAACAAACCATGTCCTGCGGCGTGGTCTTTTCTCCCCCTCGTTGGCATCCTGTTTGGGCACTTGATCTCAGATCGCTTCTGAAGGCCAGAAGCAGCTCCTAGTGACTGCTAAGCTCCTGGGACCGGGTGAATGGAGCTGACATCACTGCCATTCCACACAATGCTATTTTCATGTCCTAGATTCCGCTACCTTTATTATAAGGTAATTTCTTTCCTGGGAATTGCAGCCACTTAAAAATATATATATATTGCGATGCAATTCAAACGTGTCAGTTGATAAATTTGTTTTCCTTATAGGGAGCTATACAGAGATTTTGAGCAGTTCAGACATGGGAGGTCACAAACAGCTCACTGGCAGCCTGAGAGGAGAGCTGGATGAGGCTGGACTGAGGACTACAGAAGAA